GACAGTGACTGTGGCAGTGTGAAAGGTGTTTGGCTGCAGACTACCTGACCACCGCAACCACTGTCACAAATCCATTAATTACAGCTGTACCTCTCAGTTTCACCGGGGCGAGTAATTGAAAATAATTTAGCATTTTTTCACCAACAACACCAAAAAAGTAGAGCACTGACTACTTTTTGTGAATTAGCGTAAAAAGAGGAAAATTATTTTCGGTTTTGCATTCTAAAACAATAAGCAAGAAGGCAATGTCAATTGGGAATTGTGGTGACAATTAATGAATTGAAAGTGGTGGCAAACTGCCCTCTGGGTGGTTGACTACTTGGTGCGTAGCAGGCACTTATTTGGCCCTAGGGCTTTGAACAAGCTAGTGTCACAAGTTTTGAGAGAGGCACAAAACAGAGTGACTTTGACTGCTTCTGGACAAGAGAAAAACGACAATTACAAGGAGAAACAGTACAAACAGAAGAAACAATTAAAATCGCAGCAGGTAAAGGAATAGGTGTGACAACAGGGCCCTAGACTTCTATTGGCTTCAAACACAAAAGAGTGTGGAGGAAGTGATTAGCAAAAAAATGTGTTTTGAGATAACTTAACGAAGTGAACCATTTGGAGAAAAAGCTTGTCTTTTTACTTCATATTACATCAATTTCCTGCAACATACACTAATGTTCAATTTAGTTGTTCATTTTTACTTTACAACAAAAAAATCATCTTCATTATCACAAACTTAATGAACCTTTTAATTGGCAATTTTTGCATTTCTCAGGTGATTAGCAGCAGCAGCAAATGCACAGTTTACCTGATCATCATAGTTGAGATTACGGCAGGCAAATGCCGCTCAACAATCATCATCTTGTGTGTGTGATGACACCACGTACAGCAACAACATTGGGGAGGATTGCTCTGCAAAATGCCCGTACTCTGGCGTGATGACAATTTCGCCTTCATCAATCATACAAAGTCATAGCTGTTGCTGCTGCTTAACCAGCCAGGCAGAGCTAAAATCTTTCCTTTCCTCTCCTGCAATGGTCACTGATCATCATCCGAACATCTCCAAGCATCCAAACTAATATCTTTCTCACTCAACTTTGTCAGTGAACAGTGCAGCTTGTGTGTGTTTGTGTCTTTGCAGAGCTCCTCTCATCTGTCATCGTCTTTGCAGCTTCACACTGAGACCGAGCTGATGATTGCCCGTTCGGTCCAGCTGTTGTCCAGTTCAGAGAAAAAGCAAGATAAGAAGCAACACAACAATCCAGCACTGCTGCTGCTGACCAAGAAGTGTTGCCATGATGCATCTCATCGGTGATTAATCTCCCAAATGAAATCATGTGTGAGTGTGTTGTCACTGTAGTGCTGCTCACTCTCCCCTTCAGGCATCCTCCTCTTCCTTCTTTTTCTTCAGGCTGGCTAGTTTAATAATGGTTTAATTAATGTCCTTCTTTTTCTCTCAAATCACTATCTCAAACACTGGCGATTGAGACTGAAATTGCAACAAGCTTCACTAGAGCACTTTCAGTGTTTCAGTGTGATGAGTGAACCAGAGGAAACTAAAGCAAAGTCTTAAACTGCCGACGACGATTTGGTCTTTCTTCAGCACTGATCAGTGCACACACAGATTTAGCTGTGTCCACAGAGACAAAGTTAGTGAGTTCACTTTTGCTCTGCTGTTGCTCGTTGATGAGCAGTGGATGCCTAAACACTGCCACCACCACCACCATCATCAATCGGTGAGTGCATAATCGTTTGGAGCTCACTCACTCACTCACTCATTTACTCCTCTTCCCTTCTCTCTCATTCTCACAGCTTCATGTCTTTATCACAGTGTGCACACACCGGCAATCGTTATGATTTATGGCCCTCATCAGTGGCTGCCGAAGCAGTGGTCCTCACTACCACAAACACTTATAAGTTGTGAGGATGGATGAATTTAACACCTTGCCAGCCGCAGGAGCAGCTCTTCTCTCTCTCCCTTTCTCGCTACTTCTCGCTCTTCTGTCGCATCTGTTTCATCGTCATTCGTCGGCTTTATCATCATCATCACACTTTGGCAACTCTTTCAGCCGTTGAAGCAGCCAAACTTCAAAGCCTTCATCACCTGCAGTTTCAGCAGCCAGGACACTGCCACACATCTTTCATCATCATCAACATCATCGTCGTAGACAGAAGCAGCGTCATCGTTCATGCATTTGCACCACTTTTCTTTCCTTTTTGCTGCCGTCAATAGCGAGGCGGTTTTTAGTAAAAACGATGAAAAGAAGAATCACGAGGTACAACATAAGACACTCACCTAGAGTAAGAGACTTTGGTGGTGTTTACGAGTCACTGCGAAAGCTGCTTTTCGCATTCAAACCTTGCATGCCCAGCTTTTTTCTTTGCTGATTAGCTTGCCGAAGAATTGCCTTATTCCTAGACCAGTGACTGCTGTTGCCTCTTTTTTATTACATTTTATAAACTTTCTTACACTCGACCAGTGGTAATCGGCCAAATCTCGAGCAGTACAAAAAAGCTTTGTAGAGCGGAGAATGCCCTCATCTTTATTACCTCTTTCTTTCTCTCTTTATTGTGCTCACTCACCACCGCATCCTATTATTGATCTCTCTCTCTCTCTCTCTCTCTCTCTTTCTCTCTCTCTCTTTCTCTCTTTCATGTTTGACTTCTCACATTGGACTTTTCACAGCTTGAAACAGGCAGCAGCACCATCTCAGGCCAACTGGGGCTTCGCAGCTTAACATCTCAACTTGTGCNTTCATGTTTGACTTCTCACATTGGACTTTTCACAGCTTGAAACAGGCAGCACCACCATCTCAGGCCAACTGGGGCTTCGCAGCTTAACATCTCAACTTGTGCTTCGTGTTCTTCGCTTTTATCGAGCCTTTTGAATGCCTAGGCGAAAACGGCGTTCACCACCACCACACATTTCCACCAGTGATTGGTTTGCACACCTGAGCAGACAGACGGATCGTTTCCCACTGGGTGTTCATTGTCTTGTCAGCAGCAGTCACTGATACTGAGCTGCAGTCACTGAACGATTGTCGGCACATCAAATCGCCTCAATTCGTTCTGCCACTGAACCCTTCCTCTTCTTCTTCTTCTTCTCAGTCTGCCAAAGTCGTAAAAGTTGGTTGTTTGTTGGGGATGAGGGGGCAAATTAACTGACTGACTGACGATGCTCACAAACACACCAATTTGGCCAATTGAATTGTGAAGTCACAGAGAACAACAGCAGTGATCACTTTCTCTAAATGGGCCACTTTAGTACGGATCATTGGCAAAAAGGGAAAATTGCTGTTGATGGAGATGATGATTCTCAACACTGTCTCCCCTCTCCTCACTGGCGCCAGTTCTTTGGCTCAGTTCATTGACATTACTGGCAAATCAATTAGAGTTCTTTGCTTAAAAATAAAATTTATTGGTCGATGTAACATTGAGTATTGCCCGCAAAAAAAGTGGCACACAGTCCGCATCTTTCTTCTACGGTTCAAGAGAGGTGGTGCCACCAACTTTGCCACCGGCAGTTCCGGTCGTTTTAGTCGCAGGGGCGGAGGTGGTGGAAGTGGAGCTGCTCTTCTGGTCTGTCTTCCCCTTTCGCACCTTCTTTTTTGAGTCACCGGACGTTTGTCGGGACTGACAACACTTGACCGCCAGTAGGACGCAGACGAGGCAGACGACCACAAAGAGGACGAAGCCGCCCACGAGGATAAAGCTCTTAGCAAAACGTGGAGAACTCTGCGGTTTTACCAAATCATCATCATCGTCTAAAAGCCACAAGTCGGCCTTGCACAGTTGGTGCATCTGGGTCTTAGGCATTTTGGAGGTAGAAGAGAAAGCCCGATGAATTTTTTTGCAAAACTAAATCAAAATATTTTTTAAGTGCAGCTTTTTAAAAAACGCAGCAATAAACAACGAAATTTAGAACAATAGCATTGCCCCAATACACACACAAGAGCTCAAAGGGTCAAAGGGTCAATTTCTCACGTTTTCAAGCCAAATCATTTCAGGTGTGAATGTCGATTGGCTGCTCAATTGGCTGTGCTCAATTACCGAAGTGCAAAGGTGTGCTGCTTCTGTTCCAAAAATTTATGGATTCAATGAACACAATCGCACACAAATTACCCCTAGCGAGAGAGAGAGTGTGTGCCCTGAATTGCGCTGCTGCTGGTGTCAGGTAGAAATGGTCTGAATAGGCAGGTTATGAGCTTCTGGAATAGTGAGGTGATAATTGGCCAGCCAAATCACCTTTGGCAAAAGTGCTTTTAAACAGCTGGTAACCACAACAGCACACAGCACACAAGCCAACACCTTCNGCAGGTTATGAGCTTCTGAAATGGTGAGGTGATAATTGGCCAGCCAAATCACCTTTGGCAGAAGTGCTTTTAAACAGCTGGTAACCACAACAGCACACAGCACACAAGCCAACACCTTCTCCCCCACTTTATCATGTATCGAGTGCAATAATCTTGATGAATCCTAGTTGCGAGTGGCCCTCCACCAGAATGGCCGCCGCCTTGTTCGGCGCGCCGCAGTAGCGCGAGCAGCTGAAGATGGTGATGACGGTGCCGCGGTGGTTCAGCTTGTAGCCCTCGTTGATCACCTCGTGGGCGCGGATGACGCGGCTGAGGCAGTTCTTGCGGAGGAAGGCGCTGGTGGCCAGCTCGCTGAAGTAGAACGCCGTGGAGCGCTTCATGTTGGAGAGGTAGCCGCTGTCATCCTTCTTGTTCATGAACTCCGCCAGCTGCACGTACTCCGGCGTGGTGATCGGGTCCGACCAGAGGATCTAGAGCAAGGGGAAAGATGTTTAAAACACTAAATACCCAAACAAAAACTCTTTCCTTACCTCCCAAATAGCCGGCGCCTCCTTTTCCGGCTCTGCCACGCCGCCGGGCAGCTGATTGAGTCCGTCAATGGTGAGCACTGAGAAGGGAATGCCGCCGTGGGCGCAGAAGATCGACTCGTCGATCACCGCAGAGAAGGGCAGCTGGTCAAAGGCAGAGTTGAACTTCTCAAAGACGGCCAGGCCGGCGCCGCCGGTGCCGTACTTGTCCAGACACTCCTTCTCGAAGGTGAAGTTGCGCTGAATCTGGCGAATCTCGTGGTTGCCCCGCAGGAGGAAGAAGCGCGTCGGCGCCAGCAGCTTCATCGCAAAGAGGTAGCAGACGACCTCCACGCCGAACTCGCCCCGGTCGACGTAGTCGCCGAGGAAGAGGACGTTGGCCGTCTGCGCCATGGGCGCCATCGGCCACAGCTGCCGCTCAAAGGTGAGCAGGTCGTTGATGTTGCCGTGAATGTCGCCCATGACGAAGGTGGGCGTGCTAACCTGGAGGACGCGCGACTCAGCCGCCAGCACCTCGGAGACCTCCTCGCAGAGGGCGTTCACCAGGCCCACGGTGAGGGCGGCGGTGACCTCGGTGCGGACGACCGACTGCCGCTCCGCCGAGAGGCGGTTAAAGTCGCGCAGGCGGCGCACCAGCTCGAGCACGTACCCGGCGACGGCCGTTCGGCTGAAGGTCAGCTCCAGCGAGTGCTGGCGCTTGATGGCGGTGAGCAGGTGGCCGGGCAGGCTGTTGTTGCTGTTCAATGCTGCTGATGTTTGATCGTCGGCTTCAATGGCCAAACTTCCACTTCCACTTCCGCCAGGAATGCCCACCACCTTTGGCTTGTGCAGTCCTCCTCCGCCGCCGGCCAGCTCCACTGTGTGCACCGCCAGACTGTACGTCTTCGGGCGACAGCGGGCGCAGTTGGCCGCCAGCTGCTCTACCACCAGCGACCCGGAGCGCACCGCCGCCGAGCTGATCACCTCGTAGCCGCCCACCGAGGAGGCACCACTTCCAAAGAAGTGCTCCCTGAGCAGCTTCAGCACGGAGCGGGTGGAGCGGCAGAGGGCGCCGGTGCCCTTCAGCCTCTCGCTGGTGATCTCCTCCACAAAGTCGGCCAGGCTGAGTCCCCCGCCGCCAGACTTTGCACCACCACCACCCGACTGTGGCTTCCACTGGGCAAAGGGGCGCGTGTCCGCCAGCAGTCGACCCATGTCCGCCTTGCTCAGCGCCCCATCACCGGCCGAGTTGTAGTAGCGAAAGACAAAGGCGTAGCGGGCGCGGCAGTGGGCGGAGGCAGGGTCGAGGGAGACCAGGCCGAGGAGGAGTTCGTTGAAGGAGAGGAAGCCGCGGGTCTTGTAGTTGGACGCCTGGAAGAGGCTGCTCTGCTTCGCCTCGCTCAGGTGCACGTCCAGCTGGATGGAGGCGAGGTAGGCGCGGTAGGCGGCGGCCGTCATCGAGGTGGCCGGGTAGCAGTGCTGCACGTAGTCGCTGTACAGCTGCAGCACCACCTCATCGCTGAACTTGGCAGAAGCGACGTACTCCATGAAGCTGGCGGTGGTGGCAGTGGGAGGGGCTGATGGTGGACATTGTTCGGAAGCTTCGCCAACTGCTGAATCATTTGGAGCGGATGAGCCAACAACCGTAGTGCCAACAACTTCAGTCGAGTTTATGCCTGAAACCGGTGGTGGCGACTTTCGCTGCACGTACTTGAGAACGTGCTCGTCCAGTGTCACCTCGGAGAGTGCCGGCATGGGAGATCGATTACGGTTGCCATTTCCATTGCCAGCTGAATCGAGAAAGTGGCCCATCTTCGCGGCAGAGTTGAGGATGACGGCGTAGGTGGCCACCTCGGCGCCCCACAGCCGACTCGCCTGATGGTGGTGGTGGTTGGCTGATGAACTGCTGCTGCTGCTGCTTAGCACCGAAGAAACTGGGACCCAGGTGAGATTGCTGCCACTGGTGCTGCTGTTGTTCGGCTGGCCGCAGCAGGCCACATCGGCGGACCATCGGCCCAGGTAGATGAGTCGACTGATGAAGCGTCCATTGGGCAGCTGAATACGGGTCAGCGAGTGCAGAGCGACCTTCTCGAAGGGAGGAGGAGGAGTTGTCACCATCTGGTCAGCATCTACTAGCTCAGTGCTGCTCATCGGCTGCTTGGCCTCCTCGAGGAGGAACTGTCCGAGGAGAGCCACTGCTTCCCCTCCTCCTCCTCCAATGCCCACTTTGTAGCAGTCCTTCCTCAGGGCAATGTACGGCAGCCAGAGACCAGAGACGACTGAAGATGAGGAAGAGGAAGAGGATGAGGTGTGTCCACATGCGCCATGAACGGTGGCCAGCGGCATGTTCCCATGAGTGCAGCGGACGGCCACGGCGAGCACGTCATACAGCGACAGCTCACTGCCCGGCGGCTTCGGCCTCCCAGAGGTGTACTTGAGCTGAAGGTGAGCAGGTGGTAATGAGGATCCTCTGTCCTCCGACATTGACAGGCTACAGACCAAGCTTTCTTCGGTCATGTGTTCTTTGCAGTTTTAAAAAGTAGGTAAAAGTGAGAAACGCGCTTGATGACGCGTGGTGAGAAGACGTAAAATAGCGGGCAAAAAGTTCTAAAACTTCGTTTGCTGTTCCAAAATACAATTTTCGAATCATCTTCGAAAAAAATAGCGGCGACAGAGAAGGAATTGCCATCTGGTGGAGAAGCTGGCAACGACAAACAAAAGGCGATCTTTGCCGATTTTTGCCGATGGAAAAAAGGTGAACGTGGCCAGCATTTAATTGCCAAAATAAAGATTTTGCTGTGCCAAAATTAAAATGCCTGCATGGCATCCTACGCCTAAGCAGAGGCGGTGGCCACCAGCGTCTGTCGAAGCGAGAGCACTCGGTCCGGACCGTAGTCGGTGATGGACTGCTGCAGCGACTGCGACATCGCCGCCAGACGGCCCTGTTTCAGCTGGGACAGCGTCGCGGTGGCGGCAGCAGAGCGGCAGAGGTTGGCTCGGCGGCTTCCACCAGCACCACCACTGCCACCCTTGGCGACGTCCTCAATGGCCTTCTTCAGCGCCTCGTAGAGGGAAAAGACCGCCGCCCAGAGGTCAGTCTCGTAGGCGTTGTACTGCGTGGAGGAGTCGTTGAAGGCGGCCACCAGCTCCAGCAGGCGCTCGAACCAGAACTGCAGAGCGGAGAAGCTGATAAAGAAAGAGGAAACAGTGTTAAAAACCTCGTCACAAACTAAAGACTCCCTCTTACCTCTTCTGTAGACTGCCCTCCTGCGGTTTGAGGTGGCGGGCAATGAAGAGCGCCAACTCGATGCGCTCCTCCAGGCTGAAGGTGGCGCTGAACTTGCCGGCGCCCAGCTGCTCAAAGACCGCCGAGCAGTTCAGCAGCGACTGCTGCACCGGGCCGCTGCCCATGAAGGAAAGTGTCTCCAGGGTGCGCATCGCCTGCACCGCCTTCATCAGCATCAGGTGGCCGCCTCGGTAGCCTCCTCCTCCTCCTCGACCACCACCAGCGACCACCACCACCGCCTTGGAGAGGCTCTTCAGCGTCTTCAGCGCCAGGTGGGCCGACTTGAGCTTCGCAATGGCGGCGTCCATGTCGGGCGAGTAGAGCTTGAAGCAGAGGAGGCACTTGCCGGACAGCTGCGGCACCCGGTTCACCGTCGACTCGTAGGGCACCGGGCCGGCGCAGGCGGGGCAAAGCA